ATGTTTTTTGTTAGACAAACAGGAGAGTGATTACAGAGCACAAGAGGGAGATTTCAAGATCGACACGATCAGAGACAGAAAGCATAGAATTTTTTTTTTTTTTTTTTTTTTGTGGGGGGGGGGGGGGGGGGGGGGGAAGGTAAGGATGATGGGGCGGCTGTAAGGTTCGGGTGACGTCGGAAACAGTTCAATGCATTTATTAAATTTATTTATTTAATTTTATTATGCTTGGTGTTCGGTCTCTTGACCCTTTGTTTTGTTTTTTTTTACCCTTTTTGTTAATCTCTTGGCAATTGATTCGACTTCATATCAAAGGGATTGAATTTCATTGAACTGTTGAAATACAGACCCGAGTTCGAACTCCACTGGAAGCAGATGAGTAAAAACTTGAAAAAAGTTAAAAACACTGCAATTCTAAAAATTAGTAAATTACCTACTGTAGGGGCTGGTCGGTTCAAATGATAATATCTCGAGGCCGTAGCCCTATTTTTCAAAAAAAAAAAAAAAAAAGGGATTGGGACATACAGGAGGAGATTCCCAAGAGGGTGAGAGACTTTTTCCTGTCACTGCAGGAAGTGTAGCTCTGTTTTACAGAAAGGATCTAGAGAAGAATGGCATTAATGAGAGAGAACTCGGACTCGGCAGGAGGAGAGGGGGGGGGGGGGAGAGGGGGAGAGAGATTTGGAAAAGTGCAAAGAGTGGAGAACAACGCCGCAAAGGAATATAAGAGGAGAGAAAAGTGAGGAGAAGGGAAAGGGGCTGGAGCAATTCAAGTGCCTCGCGCCACATGGTGTGGTGAGCTAATGCCCGATAGCGTGCCGCGCCGTTTCTCTTCTAAAATGCCATCTTTCTGCGAGGCCGAAGGAAAAACAGACCAGGTCGCTTCAAGACCAAAAAGGAAGCTTTGGGAAGAAAATTGCTTGCTCCCAGGAAAGAGATGATTGTTAACAGCACTTGGACAGGGCTCGGTCGGCTCGAAGAGATGCGGATAGTACTGAATACCTTGTGTCAAGGGCACATTGCGCGCCGCAAAAAGTGGTTGCGCGCCGCAATGCAGGGAACCTACTTAACGAGGTGATAAGAGCATCCCCGGTAAGTAGGCCCCAGCTTTGAAGGCTCCATCTATTGGTGGGGAGCTGCAACTGGTCTGGAAATCGGGTCCAGCGTCCCAGTACAATGATGAGAATGTATCAGCTGGAAATCGGGTCCAGCGTCCCTCTCCAGAAATGTGTTGATATCTCCTACTACCTATATATGTTCGTTAACTAACATATTGTCAGAGGATGGGGAAACCCTGTGAGGGGAGAACCATGCTGTGCGTATAATGTGTGTGCTTGTGTATGTGTATTTATGTATTTGTGTGTTTGTGTGCTTGTAGCACAGTCTTCTGTATGATCTATATGATCTGTAGTACGTGTGTCAGTGCTGAAAGAAGGCTCGGTCTATTGTGTGTCTATTGTGTGTACTGGGTCTGTGACAGTGTGTGACTGTGGTTATACTATGGTGCTTTTGTATCATAGTTGTGTAATATGATGTATATGATGTCTATCAATGAAAATTACAAAATGTATTAAGTAAGTGGTGAGAGTAGTAATCTATTTTCAATCTATTTTGAATCAATTTTGGACCTGTAGTGGATCTGTATCCTGAGTAGGATGAAGAGACCCTTGTAGCCATGCGGGCATCTTATATGACCGGATTACTACCATATTGTGAACATGTCATCATACATAGACTACCTCAGTGTTTATCGGGTACACGCAGCAGCAAGCCCTACGTTCTGTCTGAGATCTCCCACTTCCCTCCTTCCACCCACTTCATCTATTCCTGATTCTGAACAATTCTGAACGATGGACTCAGAATTTCCGTGTGCAGTGGACAAAGGACAATCCGTGGTATAATTGCTACGATAAGCGAGAACAGGTTGAGGTGGAATGCGGTGGGATATTCTGTGAGAAAGGAGCCCGGTTTCAGGATCAGGCTGCGCGGTGCTCTTGGTATGAATCTGGTCAGTGCAGCTGGTATGAATGTGAGACTCTGATGAATTGCCGGATCTCTCTCTGCACTTTAACAAAGTGGCCCCTCTCCGCCGGCCACATATACGCAAGAAGCTTCTGAGGGAACAGTTCTGCATACAGCTTGGGAACATTCCTATCAGAGGGCAACAGAGTGATAAACTCAAAGAATTAATAATGTACCCAGAGGTTTTATTCTCACAGTATTAACTACATCATCATCCGGCACGTGATCCTCCGAAACACGGAGAACGTACGCTACATACCTTCTACCTCAACTGCTCTCAGTCTGAAATGGAGCATACGCTCCGAGTTACTAAAATCCTATTTGCATCTTAGTACTCCTACAGCATTCCCGGCTGATCTAACCACGCAGATCTGATCAGCGGTAACCATGCTACACACTGAGAAGGGATAGACTGGAGGCAACGAATTGGCGTCGAAGCCATCACGGCAAAGCATACTTGCGGCGCATCGACATGCGCTGCACCTCGCACACGCGCGCGCACCCCGAAAATAAGGGGTCGACGAAAGAAAAAAAAAGTTGCCGAGGGGTGTTCTAGGCCCGGGTGGGATGTCGCGTCATGAACCACACAAAAAAAAAAAAACAATTTGACGCCGCGGGGGCCTCGGAAAAAAAAGGGGGGGCAGCCGAACTTGTTTGTTTTTGAAGTTTTGAATTCGGAATGCTGCCCCTTGCTGCCTGGATGAACCCCGGTAGTCCAGCTTTGTGCCCTTCGCGCCCCCCATGCGTTGCCCGTCGCATGGTTGCCTCCACGTCTCCTGTGCAGCAGCAGCAGTCGAAGGCGTTGTCGTCCAGCCATAGCCAGGGCACAACAGTCATCGTGAAGGAGCCGAAGAAGCAGCGGGAGGAGCGCGGCGTCAGCTCGTAAAGTTGCCAGGTGGGTAACCACCAGCGCCTCTCTCTCTCTCCCCTCCTTCCTCTCTCTCTCTCTCTCTCTCTCTCTCTCTCTCTCTCTCTCTCTCT